ATCTTCCCGCCATTTGTGATAGCTGTCACAAGCAACATCGCCATTAGAACCGTCGAAAATGTTCCCCTTCTTGTGAGAGTACTCATCCCAAATACTAGGACCCTTACCTGTACGATTAGATGAAATGAATTAATGAATAAATTAAATCGAAAGAACAGATCAGTTAATGAACGAATAAGTACAAAAGGATTTCATATAGATTTTAAAAAAGAGCAAAAAGGTCTAAATACAATGCAAGAAGCACATAGACTACGAAATGGAGAAATAACTTTTCGTTTGTGATTTTGGTCCATATTCGGCGACTCAATGTCTTATTAAATCATGACTGTTAGCGAATCAAATCTGTTAGAGAACGAGTCTTTCTTAGTTGTCATATAATAATTGATTACATCTATTGAAATTTCAAATTGATACAGATCTGATGTACAAGTGATCAACCAGGAATTGAGGTGACTTTGGGTCGTCAGCAAGGATTTACAAACCAACCTTAAAGGATCTCGTTCAAAAAAATACTTTTTTCATTTCATTTTTAAACAAAACAACACTGAAACTGATGCCGCTTCACTTAAAACTGATGACAGCAGAGAACTCACCGTCTTCGTTCCAAGCGCCCTCTATCTGGTATGCGGCCGTGGCCACGCCCCAGAGAAAGTTTGAAGGGAGTCCGCTAGCTGACGGCCCCTCCCCCCGGGGCTGGGGCAAACACACCGTCAAGGTAGAACATAACGCCACAGCAAGCAGAAGACTCGGTATCACATCCATGGTGTTACGCTTGCTGTAGTCTGTTAGGCAAGGTGACATTCCTTTAAATACATTGTCCTAGGCCAGTGTTACAAATGTTACGTTTTACGGAGCCATTAATATTTTTGTCGCTCTGGAAAAAACGAAACGTCATCATTTAAGAGTGAGACTATTTCAATGCTGACCAAAATGTGTCCTCAATCATTGTCTTTTTTAAATTGTGACTGCGGTAAATCGTTATCGCAATATTGATATGAACAGGTATGATGTTTTTTTATTAGTGCTGTATTTTAGGCTTTCATGGTGTACAGTATTTCATGCTGCACAAAAATGAGATAAAATAGTGACTTCCCTTTTTGCCAGCCAAACATAAGGGTGGAAATCTCTTCACTGAGGGTTTCGCTCGATGCATATCCAAACCAAACGTACAGGTAAATCAAACAAACGACCCTGGATAGGCTTAACTAGCAATGAACTACATGTAGTTCTCGGGTACGAGGTCGGGTGATGATTTTAATAATAGACCTCTTTAGCCTACCCTCTACAGTGACGAATTTAGGTTGGATTAGGGGGTCCTGACCCCTCCTCCACTTTGATTTCTGAAAAAAAATTACACCAATCTACACCCTCTTGAAATTAGAATTTGGACAAGCTGAATATAGTTCTAAACTGTACCAAATGGCAACTCGCCCCCTAAAATACCGAAGTTTCACGATGGATTTTTCATTAGATATTCACAGATATGTCACTGGTTAAATTGATAGATATTGTCTGAACTTCGCGTCAGAGAAAATTTCCACATAATAAAAACTGCGACTATAGGGCTATACCTATAGACCGTAACCCAAAGACTAAAAACGGCTGGCCTTGACAGTCATCAGCAGGGTATATATAGTTCACAACTATCTACGCTATTACGTTGTATTAAATGAGGTCACCTGCTGCTAGTTGTGAAATGAGCTTTCTCTTCTACGTTAGGTAAAGGCAGTAGGCCTAATGTTTTTTATATGGCCCACAGGTAGCAGAAGGCTACGGGCCGGTATACTCTATCAGGGCCGCAGATTAATGTGCACTTTTATCTAACTTGAGACACGCACAGAGCAGATAAGTGCCACTATTTACCAGTGACATATCTGCAAATATTCAGTGAAAAACCAACCTGTGGCCCTCAGGTAGAGGTTAGGCTACAGATAGCTATGCATATAACTTAGTCAGCTGATCAAAGCCTACATACCATAACTTTACAGGATCTTGAAACCTTCCGATTGCGATTTTTAACGTTCATTAATCGTCAAATGAAATATTGGTTTCGATTAGTGGTATACTGAAAACTAAGGAAAGGATCAGCCGTGACCTAATTACCTGAATTATATATATTACGCATTCGGAACTCTTTCTGACCTAGAGACAAAAAAGTAAACCAAGAACAAAATCTAGGTCGATCTTACCGACATGTAGTAGGAAAGGTTTTTTAATCCATTCCAGTCTAGGAAATAAACTGAATTTAGTGCCGTGTACTACAATAACGTCTATAATGTTTTAATCCAAATTAAAAAGTTTGCAACTCAATAATTGTGTCTTTTCACACTTAGTAAAGTTAAAAAAGATCAGACTATATAATTAGGCCTACTAAAGATACATGTATGAAACGGTAGCTGTATCCGGTTGCTATGTAAACGGTTATTCAACCTAGTTTTTTTTTTTTTTTTTTAATTACTGTAAGTTCTTTTGGTTTTGACTTTTGCGGTTTGGACCTTCAACCAATGAAACAAAAAAAAATCAATTCGTCCGAGATATGACTACAATGTTTTAGATAGGCCCTACTTATACATTGGGAATGCAGTCTACTGGTCTACAACATTACAGTACGCTAGGATCTTGTCGCACTGTGTTTAACATTAGATAAGATTACATGTAGGTTAATGTTACATACATATCATCAATTTATCTTTTAAACCTCTATAAGCTTTGTCCCATGATAGTAATCTCGCTAAGTCCAATCAGTGGAACCATCTTAATTGGCTGACACGCCTCCTTCCGCATCTAAATTGGCACAGTACTGATCTTAATGTCTTACTCATGGACAACCTAACATATGACACACAGTTGAAGGTGTTTTTGAAGAGTACATGTATATATGTACTTAGCTTTGGCTTTTTCAGGATGTCGTTTTTCCATAACATTTAGTACAATTCAATAATTTTCCCATGTGCTAGCTCCAAGTCTACCGCTGACCGCATTGTGAATATATCTTCTAACTGCAGCTTTTGCATGATTATTCTGAAATCGCTACACCAATTAATTTTACATAATATGTAGTCGTGCTCAACCAGTCTCTTGGTTAGTCTATTGTCATCCATGTCTATTAATCTATTCCAATATCTAATTATGAACATCCATTGATTGTAAACTAGTGGCATCCAACCGACCTCACCATAAAGTGCTAATATTGTTCTAAATCTATGTACTCCCATATAATACCTGATAGCTCGTAATTGTACATTCTCTATAGATGGGAATGTCCTATACCCCCATACTGAGGCACAGTATTTAGTGATATGCATGATACGTGATCTGAACAGTTGTTCAAAAGTACTGAATCCAATATCTTTCAAACTATGTATCCTGTTAATCATACCACCTAGCCCTCTGCTGGCCCCTTTCGCTAACTCCATAGCATTATGTTAAAATTGGCCTGAGTAATGGAATGTAACACCAAGGTATTTATATCTGTCCATTGTCTCCCAAGCGTTATTACCAATGGTGAAGGTATAATGAGAAACCTTTACATCATGGTGTCTGAAATGGAGAAATTTTGATTTCTTTGCATTGAGAGTTACCCTCCAGCGTTTGCACCAAATAACAAGACAATCTAACATAACCTGTAAATTACGTGCTGATGATGCTACGAGTACAATGTCGTCTGCATATAGGAGAATAGACACCTGATTGTCTTCGTACGTTATTCCAACTCCTAGATCATTAATTTCACTTACTATATCATTTGCAAAAAACATAGAATAAAGTTGACGAGATGTTGTCGCCTTGCCTTACACCAGTGCGACAGTTGAACCAGTCAGTATACGTGCCATTGATTTTGACACAGGCAGTCGTTTGATAGTATATGTTTTTCAATACTCGATAAAATTTTCCATCTACTCCATTTATCAATAACTTATACAACATAATATCTCTATCGATGTAATCGAAACATTTTTTAGATCAATAAACGCTGCGAATACCTGTGTGTTGTTCTTAACAATACTATTGAGTGCAAAGACATGATCTTCACATGATCTATGTTTCCTGAAACCATTTTGCTCATCTGCATCTTTTGTATTTGTTTAATGTATATTTGTTTTAGTTGAAGTGTCCTGCCATCTTCTTTATTAAATTTTGTCATTAAATCATCTCTTTACAGGCCTGCGTTAGCAAATGTCTGCAACTTGCACGATGATATCGACAATCAGACATGAGACGTGAATTTTAACAGATCTAATTTGACTTTGAATAAAACTGTAAACCACCCAACCTTTACATTTTGCAAGTAGAATGTAAAAGTCGGATTCAATTTCCACGTCAATACTTCCGATTATGTGCAGATTTTGATTTTGATAATCATTAAAAGCAAGCAACCGGCTACCAATGTGTTGTCTTTGGTCATTCTTGATGCATTTACTGTAGTATATGTATAATTAACAGTTTGGGAGCCGGTATACTGTAACAAAGCCGTTGAAAGAATGAATTTCAGGTTGTGACGTCATCACAGTGTCGAGTATGATTTCTGTTTAATATCGGGTATTCTTCTGACATTAATATTTTATAAATTTAGTTCAATGTTGAATTAAAATGAAAACAATCTAAGAAATTTATACTTTGCTAGCTTTACCCGACTTGTTCATTAAGCGTCTATGCTGTGAAATGATGCACCAACATAAAAACGCATCTTTTACCTTGCCCCTGATCAAGATTAAATAGGAGACAAAAGACATGGCGAAATATCCGCATTCTCTTACGAATGACTTAATCGGATTCAAAAGTGTTTATAGTCATGTGCAATAAATGTAACTAAAGCAGTCGCGGTCGCTTATATTTTTATCCTTCTCAACCTGGCTCCCCTTTCCAATGGCATTGAAATGTACGACTTAGATAAACTGTGATTCACTTGCCCATGCTAGTTTCCATGTTCATATTTGGGGGTTGTGGGCGTGGAACTTGAGGAGCCGTTTACTTTAAAGTCAACCCTCCATTTCTTTCAGTACTGGAGATACAAGAGGATGTGGCTGATTTACTTTTGTTGTATTTTGTGCGCAGTTTTGCAGGGTTCCCTATCAGAGGTAATGTTTTCATATTTTTTGGTAAATTAGAATTTACTGGTATACAGTATCTACCGAAGTATTGTGAAAAGTGGTACATGTAGACTGTTAGGGTGTATTCCCAGAGATTTAGATCGATCCAGCGATTAAGATTTAGATCGACCTTACTCCCTGGGGGTTCACGCTAAATTGCAGTCAGCCGAGCTCGCACCATAGTTAATTACCCCCTTACAGCTTTCAGTAGGCGGGACAGACGCTTAAAGGGATAATAACTCTTCGTATGAGATCTATATTTCACAATAAAAACATTGTGAATAACTCATAGAAATGTAATATATTCTGTTTTACCACAAAAACGGCAATTATAGCTATTTTTTCTGATATCTGAGCTTGTCTTTAGACCACGTGACCTCCATTGATGGCTATACTGTGTTAAAATCTCTTAAGAGATTTTAACAAAAAGCCAAACTTTTTAGAAAAAAACCAGGGACTAACTCTGAATGTAAAAATGGATTCATTTACCATTGGTAAGTATGGGAAAATTGTTGTTTACTCCAGGAAAATTCATTTTTTGGCCGAAACGAAGAGTTATTATACCTTTAAGCTGACAGTAATCTAGTGAGATTCCCCACAGGGATAGATCGATCTAAAATCTATGGAAATGGGGTCTTACACTGCGATAAGCAAGGCCTTGACCAAGTTGTGTTGATTTGCACACACACGCGCGCCTGCACACACATATTTTTGGTCGTAACCCTCAACTCTCCCCCCCCCCCCCCCAACCGAAAAAAAAAGCATTATTACAAGCAAAAAGAGTTCAACTGTTCAGTCCATGTGTCTACCCTACTACAACATGTGCTCTTGGCATACATGTGTTTTAATATTCTAGCTTCATATCCCCCACCCTCTAAGACCCCATTCCCACAGATTTTAGATCGATCTATCCCTGTGGGAAGTCTCACTAGATTACTGTCAGCTTAGCCGGCTTAAATATCCGTCCCGCCTACTAAAAGCTGTAAGGAGGTAATTAACTTTCGTGGGCGCTCGGCTGACAGCAATTTAGCGTGAACCCCCAGGGAGTTAGGTCGATCTAGATGGATCGATCTAAATCTATGGGAATGCAGTCTAAGGCAATGGATGGCCTGCTTTGCTATTTAGTTTTTTTTTTAGCATTATCATAATTTTGATATGATATGAAATTAAATTTGCAAAGCATATGATTTCGGTGTGTACGCGTGCGCCTGTTTGTGTGCTTGCTCATCTATACATATAATGTACATAGTTGAAACGTTCATTTTTCAGGAAGGGAAGGAAGATATCCACCCTTACCAACGAGCCGCAGGTAAATGATACAAATAGCTAGTCCAAATATCATATCATATAAAACCTGTGCGTTGCATGTAAAATACGGCTTTGGGCGATTGCCTACGGATTTCTATTCCTTAAAGTGGCAACTTTTTCCACTCATTTAGTTTCATCAAAAACGTAATACTTACGCGTTTTAATTACTTACCATACAGTATAGATAATAGGAATATATATCTTCACGTCCACGATACTGGGTAACAACAATGGGTTATCATCTTTGAAAGTGTGTCAAAGAATTCCTATGTGTTGGATTACAATGGGACTGCTTTCATATGAAAAGGGATGGGTTTGTTTTAATATAACAAACAATTGTGTGTTTCCAAACATCGCTGTGTATTTAAAACTTTTTAATTTTTAGCTGAATATAATACTAAAACAACGCTTAAATCTTAGATACAGACATGTGAGACTGTTTTACAGCTGTGCATTACGGAAAAGAAAACTCTCAGAATAGTATTATCATGTTTTTTTGCCCTCTCAGGGAACATTCACGGCAGGCACACTAGAGAATAACAAAAATTGCTCTCCGTCGCAAATTATGATGCGTGAAGAGAACGGTTTGTTTTGCATTACTTACGTTTCTGATTACAACTACAGTACAAGGTAACATATACCATACACGTGAACAATACAAATCGTTCAATTTTGGGTTTTTATATACCTGATATACGCTCTGCTTTTCGTAAAACAACAATGTGTAAGGAAATCCTGTCATCTGAGCGTGTAATCACAAATGTTATGACCCAATCCTGTTTCGGTCCCTTCAGACAGACATGACAACGAAATCACAGCTAGAGTGTAGTTTCGTTTCCCCATTCAGCTTCGGCCAAATAGTGGAGATTTTTATTGATGACGTTTGACCCGGTCACATGAATATTAAATGAGACTAATTAAATTAACTATAGATCTATCCGGTTCACACTTTTTGGCGTGTAATACACGAAAAACGCTTTCATGCCGTCGCTGTTTAAACGCTGATTCTGGGATCACAGGGAGCTTTCCCAACTCCGTGGAGTTTAGTGTACTCTTCCCTGATAACTTTTTTATGTGTTTACTGTTACATTTTCCAAGTTTTATGAATATAAAGCAAAATACGATGTATATTATAAGCTGAAAGCGTGCTCAGGAGAGAGTATTTCATGTCGTCGCTGTTTAACCGCCGATTCAGGATTGCAGCGTGTTCCCCTACTCTGCGAAGTTAAGTGTAATCTTTTTTATGTGTTTAAAGTTACATTTTCCAAATTTGGGAATAAAAAGCAAAATACGATGTATATTCTAAGCGGAAAGCGTGCGCAAGAATTGACGCCATGTTGAAATTTTGCTGCCCAAGTCCCAATGCCGTTACCCAGTATCGTGGACGTAGAGATATATTTATGTAACCATCTGTGCGTGTATTGACACATTTTTTAAAAAAATCTATCAAAGATCCCTGTGTGACTCACGGCGTTCTGGACCAGGACTGGAGAAGCGTGAACAATAAAAAAGGCACGGATAAAAATGGGAAAATACATTGTGATAAAGCAGGAGAGACTGACATTAACTTCCCCGGGTGGTTCAGATTCAAAGGCAATGCTGGCAATAGAATGCTAGACAAGGTCAGTATAAGTACACTGAGGAAAGGCAATTCTGGCTTAGCCTTTTCTAGACTATATCAAAATTCTTGACAATATACCATTACGGTTTTCACTACACGTTCAACTTGGTCACACCACACTTAAGTACCCAAACACACACACACATACATTATAATGACAGCGAGAGAGGGGGGGGGGGGAGAAGACGAGGGTAAACTAGTAATGCTGTTAAAGGACATACCCAGTATGTACACATTCCATATCATGTATCTCAATTTTTCAGTCTTGAACATGCAGAATATTTACTATTTGGTTACTGTTGGTAACTGTTTGGTCATAGTCTTTGTGAAAATGTGCTAGAACTAATAAAATTATTACATCAAAGGCAAATCAATATGACTGATGGAATAAAAGTATAAAATGTGTAAATAAGAATAACCGATGAGCAAATATAAGTCATATTTTTAAGTATCTTTCATATACTTTTTATTGTACTTTTTAAATTGCCTTATTTACAGTGCCCAGCTGTTACCACATGCGGAACTAATGCTCCCATGTGGTTGAATGGTAAACACCCAGCAATAGGAGTTGGTGTGGTCAGTAGAAAGGCATGCATGAGCCACCTAATTAGCTGTTGTGATAAGCAATTTCAAGTCAAAGTGAAGATGTGCTCGGCGGGATTCTATGTGTACTATTTACCAAGTGCACCAAAATGCTTTATGGCTTATTGTGGTGGTAAGTGTCTCAAAATGCATTGCATATACTTATTGATCGTTTTGCACGCGAATGACCAAAATAAGGATTTGGTTCTGATAGTGGGCAATCATCTAAAGTTTATAAGATTTTTGAATGGAATGATAACCCTGATATATTTGACGAGGCTTTACTTCTATTCTATGTTAAAAGTGCATTTCATTGTAATATATCAGGGCGAGAAAAAACAACGTGCCGCACGCGTCAACAGAGAGGAGTAGTGGTTATAATTTCCTGATATAATGGGTACACATATAGAGTCTGTGCATTGTTCACCACATAAGTACATGTAGCCTGGCTGTGATGCTTGTGTTTTTATCATGAACTCATTGAATCTAATCTCATTATCTGGCTGGAATAGTGAAGAGTGTCTGATAAAATATTTAATTAACACTACTAGAGGACGGTTGAGTTACTAATTCCATACCTAATTTACATAGTAGAAAAATACGCATCCCTTGTATATCTAGTGAAAAGTCAATACATAGTACTGTTAGATGGTAAGTAAACAGTACGTACATGTAGTTACGCCCAGTCGGTATTTTTTAATCCTAAACATAGAATACATTATCCTCTATAGACTAGACGCTGATTCTGAAAAGAGGCTTATAAAGCAAGGAGTTCCAGAACTCCTTGTATAAAGTAACTTTTATGTCTCCTCCATCCCAGTGCATCACAAACTTGCATATTCCCGTTCATAGCAAAAGAAAATGCAACAAAGACTATCGGGTGTTCGTGATTTGGCCAAACAAGGCCGCTTTTATTATATAAACTCACTATCCTAATAATTTTAACAATAATAACAATGTGGCAAATTGTTGCCTGCATTAAATGTTATGGCCTTAGGGATAAAAATTAAATATGAAATATTAACTAAGACTCATCATCCTAAAAATAATGATGAGACGAGTCAGCAAAAGTTATCATTTTCAAGCAATTTTGCACAAATTTCGTTTGTGGGGTTGCAAAGAGGCCCCCACCATGCAACAGTTATCGTAAGCTGTGGTCCATGATAAGCAATTATTTGACAACGGACCCAAAATTCGAGATGTGTGAAGGGTGGGGGTTGATAAGACAATCGTGATCAGAAGACTTATAAACGGAGTCGTAAATGTGCAACTCAAAGATAATTAATAAATTGTAGGTATAAACGGTAACTTCAGTGATAACTAAAAAATTGAATAGGTGATACGCAAGGAGCCTTATAGTGCAGTCGCCGTGACCATTATTAGAGCAAACCAGAAAGTCACGAACAAATGGATTATGTCAACGGCATCTGATAAATCAGTAGAGAAAATAACTTACCGCCTTCATGTAGCCTAATAGTCGGCAGATGTACTACGAACAGTGTACATGTACAGCTACTCCCTGCTTGAACTAGTAAATAATCTTTCGCTGATATAATATGCTGTAAACGTGGTGTAACGGTTCGAAATATCGATGAACTGCTGGAAAGGTCTCATCGAAGGAAAAGCCGATGAAATTTTCTGAACTGAAGGTTTAAGTTGAAAGTCGGAGATAACTTGTAGCTTCAACGTATCGTGCGCGACAACAGAATGAGCGCAAAATGGGTCAGACAGTGACGTCCCCTGGTATAAGTAGCAACATGTGCCTCAATTGGGACCACCCCTCTAGGTAGAATTGAGCATGTGCAGAATGCGCATGTGCGTAAATAAGCTCTGGAGATTGTTGTCGCCATAAAATATCGTTTGACTACGCCAAACTTTCCTTTATTTCCTCGGCAATCTTTACTCGGTTTGACACTGTGCTATGATAGATAAATGTATGGCGGTTTATTTCAGGGTGGTCGTCCTTTAAAACCAATAGGCCGTGACATTAATAGGTTTACTAAATTTAACGAAAGGTGTAAAAAAATGGGCATTTAATTCTTGTTGTCAGTATTTATTTCGTAATAACGTATATTCACAGGCGACTTAAGTCCCAAAAATTCTATGAATAAACCAATATTATTACTAGTAACAAGATTATCGATTTAAAAGGCTAACAAACATTCAATCATTTCAAAATCATAAGTGAAACAAAGTTTACTTTTCGTAACAATCGCGTCAAATTTGCTACGTTGGGGGTCTTTCGGCGATCATACATGCATTTCTTTTTTTCTACTGAATAAAACGAAAATTGTCCAGTCTATTAAAAGGTATATTTCTATTTGTCATATGAAGTCACACATGCATTTCTCCAATAAATGCCGTAATGCCGCAATTCTGGACCATCAAGCTACATTGTACTTTTGTTTCTTTAAGAAGAAATAGCTAAAAATCTATTTGCTTAGCACGTGAAGTGGTCGAGGTGCAGGCTTAATGATAATTGAATATTTGTAGAGATATATGAAAATGCAAAATGAAACCATACAAAGTATGTATTTTTCATCTTGTGCGACACGCATCCGTTGATATAGCCTACATGATACCAGCGTTACAATGTCTATACATTTACTATTATAAGTTGTCTTAAGGTGCAGTTCAAGCTGAATGACAAATTGAATATTTAGAATTATTAAGCTAGGGCAGTAAACCTGAGGCTCAAAGGTGTTATGTTTTCATTTTAGAATATCACAACATGTGTCTTGATAAAAACGGTGGATGTTCCCACTTCTGCTCCATGGATAAGACTACATTAACAGCTGTGTGTTCGTGTCCAAGTGGTTTTCCTCTTAGAAAGGATCGAAGGACGTGCGGTACGTGGCTGTTCCAAAAGATCGGAAGCACTGTAAAACCTGTTTGTTGTATCGACTTTCTAGGTGTTATAGTTAGAAATAACGACAGCGGTCTGGAGCTTTCGAACGTTTATTCAACGACTCCTTCTTCATACAACTGCACAAATATTTCACGCATTTACTTGTTTTCTTTTCCATTGTCTTTGCGTGGTTACAAGGAATTTTCCATTCGCATGTTGCAAGTCACCATGCAACATTTCCTTATTAGGTAATCCCTAAGATACTTGTTTTCAATTAAAGATATCTAAAATATTATTTGGATTACTCATGCTTGGACCTTATCCAAAAAGTTATCATGTGATAAACAGTTGATCAAAATTAAAATATGCTATGAAATTAACCAGTCACATTAACTGTTACTGACTTTGACCTTTTCCATCTTTTTCTGACACTAAAAACATGTTCTACACTTGTTGACACTTGATGAAACTTAACTTACACTCAATAACTCCCTATCCTTTTACTCGTTTGATTCCGTTTTAATTGTTATCTGCAATTAGTGAAAGTGTAATTAATTTGCTTTACAACATAGGTCGTTAATCAAAATTCATTGACACATAGACACATTTCCAGTTAAACGCGTATGGGGCTATGAATAAAATTTCTCACGAATACACACGCACAAACACACACACAGAGAGAGAGAGAGAGAGAGAGAGAGAGAGTGAGAGATAGTTCGCCAATTATGTAATTTCAGAGTATCGCAACCTGTGTCTTGATAAAAACGGTGGATGTTCCGACAACTGCTCCATGGATAACTCTACATTCAAAGCTGTGTGTTCGTGTCCAAGGGGTTTCCGTCTGGGAAAGGACCAAAGGACGTGCGGTACGTGACTGTTCCAAAAGACCGGGTGTATGTCACAGTAGGTTAAGCCTTAAAGGGTATAGTAATGGGAATGTGTTTACAAACTTAGATAAATATCCAATGTAAATCATCGCGCGTTTTTATCCACACGTACAGTGAATCACAATGAGAGAGAGAGAGAGAGAGAGTGACAGAATGTTACCAATTATGCCATTTCAGAGTTTCACAATCTGTGTCTTGAAAACAACGGAGGGTGTTCGGACAACTGCTCCATGGATAACTCTACATTCACTGTCGTCTGCTCGTGTCCGAAGGGCTTTGTGGTGGGAAGTAACAAGCGCGCCTGTAGTAAGTCTTGTCTTTTTTTTTTTAGATTAAAGGGATAATAACTCTTCGTTTTGGCCAAAAAATGAATTTTACTGGAGTAAACAACTTTTTTTCCATACTTACCAATGGTTAATGAATCCATTTTTACATTCAGTTAGTCCCTGGTTTTTTTCTTAATTTGGTTTTTTGTCAAAATCTCTTAAGAGATTATAACAGAGTACAGCCGTCAATGGAGGTCACGTGGTCTGAAGACCAGCTCAGATATCACAATAATAGCTATAACTGCCGTTTTTGTGGTAAAACAGAATATATTTTATTTCTGTGAGTTATTCACAATGTTTTTATTGTGAAATATAAATCTCATACGAAGACTTATTATCCCTTTAAGTAAAAAAAAAAATAGAAACATAGCCGATCATTTTGGAGAGCTGGCATTCATTCGTGCATTACAACCAGCTAAGTGCATTGACTTTGGGTCATTTCTTAATTCATTTTATCATCTTTTTCATCTTTATTTGTTCAGATAACTATTGCTTTAAAAGTTTCTCCGATTTCACTTTCAGTTAGAGACGAGTGTACAGTAGATAACGGTGGCTGTAGCCATTTCTGTGTCCATAGAGATTACAATGACCACAGCCACTGTCAGTGTCCAGTGAAGGATCTGGTGTTGAGGCAAGATGGAAAAACATGTGAATGTCAGTGAACGCCTGCAGTATTTCTTTTTTAAATTTGTTTAACATCGCCAAATACGGTACTTTGATCAATGAGCAATAATAGGAGATATGTGGGGGGATATGATATAGATACTAATTACAAAGACAATGGTAAAATGTTTGTCTGACTGGGCGTACCTTTTTATGTCATTAAATTTAAACATCTACATTTATGCTACGTCAGCTCCCGATGTCAACGTAACCTGCACCAACCAACACCTGCAGTTAGACCTGCTTCGTTCGGCATTCCATGGTCTTAACGAGAGCCAACTCCAGTTGACGGACCCTTCCTGCCAAGGCACAGGCAACCATACCTTCATCACGTTCAGGGCGCCCCTGCACGGCTGTGGCACGATCATGAATTTCACCAACTCCTCGGTCGTGTATTCCAACATCGTGTCTACTAGGCCCAAC